ATGTTTTTAATATTTTCAATTAAACTCTAGTAATAGTTATTAGATATCAATTCCAAATAAATATAATGATATAAATAAATTTAATCTTTCAATGAATATTGCTAGTTTTTAAAGTAAAGAAGTACTAAAATAATTTATATACTTAATACGCCCTTACAAAAGGATATAAGTATATTAGAAGAATAAATAAAAAAAGAAATCATGAAAAACATAATAAATGAACTTGAACAAAGAAACAAACAACAATTAGAAGAAATTAACAGCATCAATAAGAAAAAAGAAGTGGAAGTTGAAGACCTTAAACTAAAAATCTGACATGTAACTAGTTATCTGACTGGCCCTTTCTGATACAAAAATCTAAATCAAAAATGATAGATGAAGGTAATTAAGAATGGCTAAAGATCTTAATCATCCTAGCTGAATTTTGAAAGAGTTTATTTAGATAATATCACTATTGAAGGAATGTTAGGTGAGTTTTGTGATAGTTCAAAAGATTTAGCTTCTACTTGTGCTAAATATATATATTTCAGAGTCAAACAGAAAAGATCAACAACTTTTTGAACAAAGCAAAGAATATAAAGAGAAAATCAAAGAGTTAGAAATTGAGATTAAAGAGCAAGAAAACAGAATAGAAGAGTTAGAAGATGAAGTATGAATGGAATGTGAAGAAGCTGGGAAAGCACTAAATACAGCTATGAAATGGAGAGAAAATGACAGATGGGTGAAGTAGTTGAAAAGCGTGATGCAAGGGAAAAGGAACTTTTGAATCGAATAAGCATGTTAGAAAGGAGTTTGTTGAATGAACAACAAAAAACAAATTATTGAAGAAATAAAAACCAAGAATTACCAGCTTTACCAGGGAAACAAAATCAAAATAGATTGAGAAAACTTAAACAATTGGTAAGCAAAGTAAAAGAAAAAACTAAGGAAAAATTCCAAACTTTCATTGTTCAGAAAAGTAAATAGTTAGTATGAAACTAGAATACGGACAGAGTTTTGGAATTAGCAAAAGGGAATAAGCAAGAATGTAATTATTAATTTTGTATAGGGATAGTTCTATATATCACTTAAGGTAACAAATGGGATATTATAAAACTATTAATTATGATCACATCACAAATGACTCACTTTGTCTGGTTTTGTTGCAGCATGTCCCATATATGGCCCAAATGGTCAGCAATTTGATTCAATCTTTTGGTTTCCATTAATTACACTGTCAGTGGAAGAGATGGTCTTAATGAAGCACAGAGATAAAAAAATGGATGATATGCTTTTTTTTTTACAAAAGAATATTATGAATTTGATCAATTAACATTCCTTCATTTTATATTCATTTTTATTACTCGAATTTAGAAGGCAGTTCTTAAACTAAAGCTTAATTCTATTTTAAAAATTTATTTTTATAAATTAATTAAATGTTGAAAAATTTAACAGTGGCTTTAATTATTTAAAAACATAAGTTTATCTATTATTATATAAATCAGGGATGGAAGGGGTGTAATTCATAGTCAGCTTAAGCTTTTTTTTATCTTTTCTTTCTTTTATTATAAATAGAACTTCATCTGTTTTAAAAAAATTTTGGCCGTGCTAATTAACAACCGTTGTCTCAATGACCAAATATTAACTTTTTTAGATAATTCCACTAAAGACAATTCCTTTTGTCTTCCAAATACTATAATCCAATTACCATGGGAAAATTCATCCCGCACTAAATTTGTTAATTTAGCAAAAAATATTTCTTTCTTTGCCATGTTATTATTAATTTGTAAATAATTAAAAGTTTAATTTCAAGTGGCCATTAAAATTATATTGATTTAGTGTAAAAATAATTATTGATAAATTGATAAATTTTAATGTCTATTTAATAACAAACTTATTTTATGAGATGAAATTTCATTTATGCTAATGATAAGTTAAAATTATATAAATTCTCCTGTTTTTTGATAAAAAAATAAGAAATAAAATTGATTATTGATAATGATCATTCCCTGAATAAATTCTTTTGATACAAATGTTGTATTTATAAGGATAAAAATGTATTCATTTTTGAATGAATATTTTTTTTTAGTAAATTATTTTGATAAATCTTTTTTGGCAAATTATTTTTTTCAAATTTTACATTACCAACAATTAATGGGCCTTTTTAAGTTCCAATTCCCTATCAAATAAGGATTTATAAAGATTATTAACTGACATAAATTTATTAGTAAGGAGAATATTATAAAAATATGGCTTTGCTATATTCATTTACAACACAATACTCACTTATCATTACACTTCATCATACACACTC